CAAAACGCCTCCTATGAATTTGCACCCCTTCATAAGTGGTCGTGGCACGTTGAGCTCTGATGAAAAGACAATCTAATCATCTCTATTTCTATCTCCAGCTCCAGTTTCTTTATCCCGTGTTCACACTAAATCCCCTCTCAATCCTCTTTGTATGCCCTCCAGCGCTCTGCATCCAAATTGTACCTTTGTTGAAATATTTTCTCCGATGTTTCATCCAATCATATTTCATCTTCTTAACCTCGTTTGATAATTTTCCAATCCAACCCCTGCCCTCCTTCGTCGAAACCTGTTGTGTCTTTAGTTTATTTTCCCATGCGTCTATCTGTCCCTCCATCTATTGATCCCTCACAGCCATTCATCCATCACTCTCTAAAGCCTAGACATGTAGGGCAGCCACAGTAAAGGAGCTCCAGGACCAATTCTCTTTGTTTTGCCCCCAGGCATGTTACAATCTCAATGGGGATATTGGCTTATCACCCACTCCTTCCCTGTTGTCTTACACTTGGCTAAAATATGCTTGCAGCTAAAATTACGCAATCCGTAACACAAATATTATGTGTGAATTCCAACAGTGTAAGATCAAATGATACTGTATTTACAGAGAGAGGGATGTACAAAATAGAAAAGATCACATTTCTTTTAAATATTGGAACTGATCCGTCTGGTGCCAAAAGCCCTATGATTACACAACGGTGTTTATCTCTAAATCTCACAAGGATACCTAAATCACAGAGTCCACAAATCATCAGGGATGTTGCTCAATTTTCTAAAATCACCAAGAATGTTGATCTTTCTTGTGTAGAGTATCTTTGTACATGTACAACATCACATTTGCTAACTGCCAGGTGGTACAAAGCCAATTTACTTTTTCTGTCGCTCTCAGATGTGTTCCACTTCGTTAACAAGACCGATCTGATGCGACCAGAGTTTGATAATGATGGAATAAAACCAGCAAATTCTCCAAGCCAAAAGTGCTTCTCTAATCCACTGTTGGAAACATTGTTCATTTACACATTGCTTAAACAAATCCTTTCCTAGAATGCAAGCTCCATTGTATAATCGCTGCCAAATGCTGACACACGGTGTAACTGTAGAGGAGGGAGAGAGGGAGAGAGGGAGAGAGGGAGGAAATGTGTAAATGCAAAAGTATACTTTGTAAAAAGAGGATACAAATTGAGGTTTAGAGGGAAAATTAGGCATTTAGATTAATCCAACTCTGTGTTGTAAAAAAATACTGTCATTAAAATATGCAACATATTGAGTAGCAAGTGTACTTAGTTCCATCAGGAATCAACATTTAGCAACCAAATCCTCAGATCAGTCACACTTTCTGGATGCTTATCTGCATTTTATAGGGTTAGCTTTTGCTGACATCACACTCCTCTTTGATAAAAACAACAAATCACACTTATATAAAGCAGATGCTACAGACTGTGTTTCCAACTCTCTGCTACCATTAGCTAATCCTAATAAGAACCTCGTTCTGCTGTGTGTGCTAAAGATCCCACCGAATGTAACTTCTGAGTAATCCTCTCTTCTCAGAGTTGCAGCACGGGCTGAGGGGCAAACAAAACTGTGCAGATGCATAAGTGTGTGTGAGAGCGAGGGTGGGAGTATGTGTGAGTACTTCAAAGCGTGTTTGAGAGTGTTTATCACCATGCAGCTGGGAAGTAATCCTCCAATGTGCAGCCGTGATGTCATCATCCAAAACAACAACAGAAAACATCTCTGGCGACGATCGCTAGGGCAACTGATCCTTCCCGACAACAGCGCGGAGGATTAAGGTACAGGGCAGTTTACTGGACAGCAGCTCATCTCCAGAGTGTGTGTAGTTGTAACTTTTAAAAATCAATAAAAGGAGGGAGAGGAGACTCAAAGAAAGAGCGATGAGGAATAGGAAAAGCCTGACACAGACGTAATGTGCTGCTCCGAGCTAAAATTACATCATTCCCAGCTGTCGACCAAGCGTGGATACAGGAGGAGATGGATGACAGATGGATTACAAATCCTAGGAGCTAGTTTCATTGGAAATATAGGGAATTATCTACCTCTGCCAGAAGAGATTTGGAGACAATACTTAGATTAAAAGGAACATCTATCATCTATGCATTTGCTATTAAAACAAATATTTGGTTGAATACATTGTCTGATTTTTAGTAGTAATGGCCTCAAAGATCCAGTATTGCTAACTGTTTTACAAAACAGGAATCAAGTCTATAATGTATTTTGTATTGCATTGTGAAAAGCTTTCTGTTTTACAAGATGAAACAGTGTGTACCAAAATGTACAAATACACCCACACACCACTTCTCAATGCCAAAGAGCTACAAAGGCATTTCAGGGTTTGGATGTGATCACTAAAAGAAAAGAAAGCACTGCTGGCTCAGAAATACTGCAGCCAGATTATCGATATCATATCAGAGGAGATTGACATATAAAGCTGGTAAATGGAGCACTGATTTCACATACTGATACATGGCAATTATAAGTCGTAACATTAGTACATGCAGTACTATTATCATACAGGTTTTGAGTTTTGGTCGGCCAAAATCTACGCATTGGCTCAGAAAATGTTGCTTTTAGCCCCGACATAAAATAATACCAGTACCTGATATGTGTACTGTCAGTGGGCTAACGTCAAGCTGTAAGAGCCTTTAGATATTCATTCAAGTCATCATGCAGGAATAAGAGCACCCCCCCCATTGCGAGCGCCAGGATTCAACCAGTGCATGTTCCTATTTGGCAGGAAAGCCAGCTGGAGTGTGCATATTAGAACCACATGCATTATGGGATGCATTATGGGTGGTCCTTAGTGCCATGTACATTTTTAGAAGTGTGGGCCCACAGCAGGGCTGTATTAATATTTCACGGAGGGGTAGAGGGAAAAAGTGTGTCTGTATGCGAGTGTTGAAGGGGTGAATCATAGCCTTCACTGACAGCTGCTTCTCCTTCCTGCAAGGGACAACAGCCCTGTGTGTGTGTGTGTGTGTGTGTGTGTGTGTGTGTGTGTGTGTGTGTGTGTGTGTGTGTGTGTGTGTGTGTGTGTGTGTGTGTGTGTGTGTGTGTGTGGACTGGATTTTCACCTGCACATTAGGGTGGTCCTTACAATGTAAAGTCGGAAAGTCTAAGCTCCAACCCCCAGAAGTCATTCTATTAGTCAAGATAGTTTGACTGTTTTCCTCAATCTGACAACATTTACCCCTCCCTCATCAACCTTGAAGTTTAGCCTCAGTTGCAGCACCGTGGCTGCTGGTGTGGCAGCCCAGGTCGATGAGGGGGGGGGGGGGTACATTTTGTCAGATTGAGGAAAGAATTCACCAGGAGAGTCTTTTTGACTAATAGAATGAATTCAAGGTTGATGAGGGAGGGGCAAATGTTGTTGGAATTTGAATAAAATTCACCAGGAGAGTTTTCTTGACTATCATACCAAATTCCGGTGGTTGGAGCTTAAAATAAATGAATTTGAAAATGTACATGGCACTAAGGACCGCCCTACTGCACATGTGTACATGTGTATGATTGATATGAGTTTTGTCTAAGCATATCATGTGGGTGAAAAGCAGACATCTCAAAACGTTTTTGTGTTGATAGCATTGATTTTTGTCCGTTTCATTAATCTAGGCATTATCAAATGCCTTAAACACAGCCATTCGCAACCTATTATCTATTCCTCTAAACCCCCCCCGCCCGCTCCTGCTTAATATTCAGTCTTCCACACTTCTCTTTCGACGCTCAACAGCTCCCACTCATCTCCTCTCCTCTTCAAATGTTTTCTTTACTTGTCACTATATGGTTTTCTCGGTCTTTCCCTCTTCATCTATCTCTCTTGTGAGCTCTTGAACCTCCAATATTTGTCTAGAGATACTTTGCCATTCTCTCTTATCCCCTCGTTCACTCTTATCTCCGCTGCCTTCCTGCTAGTAACTGGACTTTTTTAAACCTTCTCATTTGTGTCCTTGTTGTTTTAAGAGTGTGTCCTTGTCCCCTGCTCAGTCATTGTTTTCACTCGTGACTCAGTAACAGGCATGACTCCTCTTTGAGTTGTCTCAATGGACCATGAGGCAGGTTTTGCCCCTTAGATTAAATGAGGAATTAAAAAAAAAGAAAGCTGAAAACACATTTTAAATTCTGAGACACAAATATTTCGCTGCTTTCACAATCCCCGAGTAAAGAATATTAATAAGGAATCCATTTAACTTTCCGTACTTGGTTGGATTTACTGCTTCGTTTAACCTTACTTGGATTATGTCTATTTCTCAGTATTTTCTTCCATTCTTTCCTCCATCCACTCCTGCACCTTTCATCATTACACAGAATGCTGCAGAGGGGTCAGAGGCCAACCCTGGAGCTTAGTTGCATGGCTGCTGGCTGCCACACACACCAGAAGAGATGTGTTGGGCCTCAACGCAATGCTACATGTAAACAGCACCAAAGCTGCTCAACATGCAACCCACACAATAAAAATGCCTCTTGGACCCGGCTAAAGGCTTACATACAGCCTGACAAGCAGTAAAGCTCCGGGGCAAGTACTCAGCGAGGGCAGGAGGTGGAGGTCGAAGTGGAGTGAAAGGTGGAGTGAGAGGTGCTGTGATTACTGCGGCTCACCAGGGGAGATATCTGCTGGCAGGCTGGGATGTTTACAAAGAGACGAGACTGTGCGAGCCACAAGACTTAAATCACACCAGATCAGACTGGAAATCTACAGCACGCCACCAGCAAAACCAATAACATGCTAGCAGAACATCAAAATCTGTGGTTCAGTGAGAGAACATGGTCTGTTTACTGAATAAGCATCCAGAGCAGAGATAAGGGGCATATTAAGAATGGATGATGCCATAAATCTGCTGTAGGTTTGGTGATTCAAAAAAAGAGACAAGTTGAGTGCAGCCGGGTCGTAACAGGCAGTGGAAATCGGCACATCCGCACAAAATGGGAATTTAGCTTCCTTTTTTTTTTGGCAGCCATGATTCAAATCCCTAAGCACATTAACCACCGCTTACCGTCATGGTTGGGGTTGCCCAGAGTCCACGGTTCATCCGAGTCAAAGTGTGTGTCGCCTCCTATTCCCGGCCCTGGGAAGTAGGCGTGGGCCAGAAAGCCACCCTCGCCGTCAAAGGGTGAGCTGTCGCCATGGAAACCTGAAGCGAAGATGATGGTGATGTCCACGTCTTTCTTGGTCCTCTCCAGCTCGCTGTAGGGAACGGCCTCGAAGCGCAGCGGCGTCACGTTTTGCCAAACGTCAAAAGCTCGCCGAATTGCGTCGTGGGTCTCCTCCGCCCCAACTTTGGGTGTAACGTTCTTTATGCTGCAGAGACACGGGATACAGAAAGTTAGACTGTGGGAACACTAGAAGTCATGTAAATGTTAAAACTAACAGGATGAGCAAATATATTGTAAATGGGTCTCAAAAGACTATTGGGTAGGGCTGCTCAATTAATCGTATTTTAATCGCGATTACGATTATGGCTTGCAACGATTACGAAAACAACGTAATCGAAGTAAAACGATTTTTTATTTTTTTTTATATTATTTTTTTGGTTTTTCAGTTGAATTATACTTAAAGTTCAGGGTAATAACATACTGTTCAAAAATGTTTTTTTCAATAAATGGATGTTTTCAAAGTCAATGAATAATCGCATTTAATAATCGCAATTACAATTATTATTATTTAGAACCCAAGAAAGCATTCAATACCTGTAAAGCATGAGAAATTGTGGGATACAAAACGATGTATTCAATTATAATACCTGCAGGGTCGAAATATGCCCAAAAAATTAAAAGATCCATCCCTATTACCGTTTCCCTGCATGCTGCCATTTCACGCTCATGGAGAGCTAAATGGAGCGATTTGGGGGAGAAAACAGCTGAGTCCTCCCCCGTCGGCTTTGAGTTGCTGCAGGTGTGGAGAGGCCGGGACAATTTCCTGCCACTGGAATTTATTTTCTAATTAAGGATTATCAACAGCCCACTGCCTGCTGAGAGCCCCCGCCTGGTTTGGGCAATCAGGAAAAACCTCACTCCACTTCATTTGAAAATATCACAGTGTCACGCTCTATTAAAATGTGGTTTCTCTCCCAGGATAGATGGATAGTGTAGTTTACATCACTCAACTGAGACGCTTGTAAACACACAACACTCTGTATCCTCTAAGCGCACTGTCTGAGTTTAGAGGAAAGCTAGTCTGATGCTCATGTGATAAGTGCCGAGTGGAATTAAAGTGACAATTTCTTTGTCTTTTTTCTTTCTCCTTGATTCGATGTTTCAAGTAGTTTAAGGAATCCCCTTTTCTCCTCCCATCCAGCCTGTTTCCTGGATGTGTCACCTACTGTCCTTTGTTCCCTCGTCTTTGTTGTTCCATCTCTGTTTGGCTGTCATGCTGTCACTTTCCATAATAGAAATACATGTTATCAGAGCGTTTATTATCCTTGAATCTTGCTCATCTTCTTCTGCATGGTGGGTAAGGAACATTGATATACTGCAAATGTATATTGTATGTTAGCTAAGAGATTAATTGTTGAATCAAACTCAGTGAAAATGGAAGCATACAGACTGGTTATGAGATATAAATAGAGTGCCACTGAAGATGTTCAATGTTCATTAAAAAAATTCAGATCCAGATTACTTGACACAAACCACAAATTACTTTGACTTCTCATTACTCTTTCAAGACAGACATGCTGACAGATGACTAACTCTTTGGCGAAGTTGTGTTGGCTTTGATTATAGTCTTGCAGAGTTTTGGTGAAAATGTCCCTTGCAGCTAATGTTTTTCTATTTTGACAGAAACACAGGACACATGCATGAATGAATTTAATTGATGGTATTCTTAAAGATAAAGCTACAAAAAAGCCATCCGAAATGTATTGGTAGAAAAAGTTGTTCTGGACAGATATTACGTTAGCTTTTTTAATTAGTCACTAGTTATTAAACTGTGGAACGACCTGCCCTTGCTCATCTGACAGGCTCCCACACTGACTGCTTTTAAATCCCGTCTTAAAACCCACCTCTTCTCCTTGGCATTCAGAAACAAGTAGATTGTTGCTTTTATTTGCTTTCAGTGGTCTATTGTTTTTATTATATGGCTGTTATTTATTTTTTAATTATTAGGTTTATTCTGGTTTGTTTTGTGTTTGTATCTTGTATTTTAAATGTATTTATATGATGTTGTGTGAGCTTATCTCTCTGTACAGCACTTTGGTCTGAAGGTTTTTAAAGTGCTATATAAATAAAGTTGGATTGGATTGGATTATGGAGCGGCTTTATCTACAAAGATGGGAGTTTATTCAAAAAAGTTTGAAGTTAATATGTTACATGTCCAATAATCACTCCTATTTTTGGTCTCCACTCTTAAGAGCTAAATAAGTTCCTAAACTGCTAAAAGTTAAACCTGGCTCAAAAGCTAGTTGCTAACTGTGTTTGCCTGCCATGCTAGTAAGGTAGCATACTGAGGGCTTAAAGTGCTTTACAGCAGAACATTGCTGAGGGTTGTTATTGGTAAATTGTATCAAATTAAAGCTTGAAATTGGTTATGTTTCCTCAACTGTACTTAAACAAATGTGAGTAATAAATGCTTCCATCTCAAGAACTGCCAGTTCTCTTGAATTACAGAAACAATCTTGAACAATTGAAGTGTTGTTAGTGCGATGGTGGCTGGAGAGTGAGCTAACAGTCTGTCTGATTGGGGCCACTTATGGAGGAAACACAAAATGGCTCTTGTCTTTTGAAATGCTTATGTAGAGCAGATAGAGATTCGCGAGAATTACAAATCAAATCACTTAAAATCCATATCATCTGACCCAGAGAGAGTCTGCAGAGGTACAAATGTTTTCTCTGAGATTCAAATGAAAAAGAAATATTCTAGCACCTCAAGGGTTCTCCATGAAAACATGTCCTTGTCTTGCTCTGTCTGGGGTTACAATGAGAGGCTTTAGCACCAACTGTGTCCTCTAGAGGAATACAAAGACACGTTTATTTGATTCTATTACTCATCTCACTGTACAGTTTGTGTGTCCTATTTTAAGAGCAATGCAGGTAGATGCTGAAAAAGGAGAAGAATCTCCAACCTGCTCTGAGGACATATAAAATATGACACACCGTGATGTGATAATGATTCTGGATACAATACATGTGCTTTAATAGTCGCTGCATGCAGGGCTAACTGTAGGATGCCAAAGCTAATTAGTGCATTCCTACAGTAAATACTGGATGTGGTTACATAAAAAGCAGCATACATCAGGGGAGCCATGCATTCGTTATATCTTCTAGATGCCAGAGTGCCAGAGTTGTTTTTCAACATTTCGCTTATAATTTGTTGTAGCCGTGTCACCATTCACAGATCTCAGCAACTTCACTTGGACCGGACAAAAACAAAACTGAAAAATATATAATGTTTTTTTTACATTTTGGTACATGTCGGAATGGTAAAGATGAATCATTGTGTGACACATAGAACTGCTAAAGATAACCGGTTATGGATGTCTTTAGAGAGAATATGTTACATACTCTTCCTCCATCTAAAAAATGGACAGAGTCTCCTTCTGTATGTCTATCCTTTGTTTAATTTTTACAACAACTGTTTATTAGGTGTATTACTAAGGACCAGAGGAAGTACAATTTAAAGTCTGAGGTTTTAATATCCAAGGGATATTTTATAAGTAGTGTGTTGTATACACATTATGTACTGATTTAGAGAGGACTATTAAGCATGAAGGGTACAATTCTCCGTAGTTTGCTAGAGTAAATTCAAGCACATGGAAGAGCAAAATCTACCGGATGTATTTATCTGTGATTTTCTCAACAATTGTTAATCTAATCAATCTCACACTTGGCGGGTGTGTTGATGAGGAAGTGCATTGTGGAGTGTGAAGTTGCTTGGATGATAAGTTCTCCAGCAATACCGGATGCCAAGGAATCTGCCTGCTTCCGAAAAGTCACGTTGCGAACAGGCAGTGCACTAGTTGCATCAATTTGAGTTAAAAGGAGCAGCTGCTGGCCAATCTGACTGAAGGCCACACACACACACACACACACACACACACACACACACACACACACACACACACACACACACACACACACACACTACACACACACACACACACACACACACACACACACACACACACACACACACACACACACACACACACACACACACACACACACACACACACACACACACACACACACACACACACACACACACACACACACACACACACACACACACACACCACACACACACACACACACACACACACACAACACACACACACACACACACACACAAAATGCTCCCTCCCTATTACATAACCCTAATCTGTCCGAAAGCACCCTCTGCTTTCCACTGGGGTTTCCTCCTCAGCTCTCCTTCCCTCTCAGCTCATCTCTTTCTCTCTGCAGCTGCTTCTCCTCCAACTCCCTCCACCTCCTCCCATTTACTTCTTCACTCTCCATCAAGTCTGCTCATTTTCTTCTTTTCAAATCCATGCCCTCACAAATGATCCAAATCCCAGTGTGAAAATGCATAGACATTCATCTGTTCAGTTCTGTCATCAGTGATATACTGCGCTTCTTCAGCTGTAGATCGCTGATCCACTAGATTAAATCCTGCATGTAATACTGTTTATACATTTATCCTCTGGGCAGAGCAAAATAATAAAAACCAAGCCCACTTCTTGAGGATTATCCTATAAAACATGGAGCTGCGGGCAAGCTATGGCATAGTATGTATAAAACAGAATACGGGCTACTGACCTCACTAAATCAAGAGGGCAATATGATATAACACGTTGTTCTATACATTACTCATGTAGCCGAATGCCAGGAAATGCGCTTAAGAATTGTGAAATTAATGATGAGTTCCCTGGTGCATGCACGGCTCTTTCATGTACACTCTTTTCCCATTGATGCTACATGTTAAGAGGATACATCTGGTTCATGTTCAGTACTGTTTTTGAAGAGCAAGAACTGTGTGTAATGTTTGCCGTTTGGCTTAAAGCAATGGTAAACGTTGGTTTATTCTATGGCTTGTAGCTTTCTGTACAATCCAAATATTGTGTGCAGTATGTGCTTATGTGATCCACAAAAGGGAATTGGGAAATGTTTAAGCCCAAAAGCCTATAAAAGGAGCAACACAGTCCAATAATTGTTTAAAATGAATACAAAGAGCATGACTAAGAGCAAGAACTCCGTGAAAAAAATGCAGTTTCTCGTTCTGCCCTTTTAAAGGAATGTGTTTTCTTAATTAAAAGGTCAATAGCCCTGTTTGTGTACACATGCCTGTGTGTGTGCACGTGCTATTTATTTGTGGCTGTAGGCACATGCTGGGTTAATATTATTCCCTGGTTGTCTTCACAACTTGACAGAAGCCCCGTTGATGGGTAGAGTCAGTGTGTGTGGATGGGTTGGTTATGGGGATTGTAGGGAAATTGGATTATTCTAAAACGCTGTAATGACAGCACTTCTTTATTAAACTTGACGTAATCTTCATATATTTAAAATCACCCACCTGTATGTGATATGTTTGTGTTGCCACTTCTGTCCTGTGAGGGCGTACCGCCGTTTCCGGACACTGAATCTGGACGCTCCTCCTACCTGGTCAGGAACCCCACATCTGGGCTTCTTCATCCACCTGCAGGGAGACGAGAGGAGGCCATTCAACACGGAGTAGACAGTTCATTCTGCTGTGAGTGCAGATTCTGAATGACGTGATAATGATGGTTGAAATTACTTGTTTTTTCTAAATCATGCAGCTATCGTGACTACAAACCAATTTTGATTCAATGTTTCTCTTGATATTTATAAACTTAAGTAATGAGAAATAATTCATATGAAGCTCTATATGCATTTGTATGTAAAATACATTCTAACATGATATGAAGTATTAGATAAACATACAAAACAGACACATAAAAATGCATAAACGCACCAGACATAAAGGTGTTTTTGAAATCTTAACACAGCACATGCACATTTTTCTTAATCCTCACCTTATTGTGTTATCGCTACAACGACACAGCGAAGCAGAGGAGGAGAGAGAAACAGGCACACTGTTAGATTATCACATTTCTCTCCGTTTCAGCCCGGTGGTTGGACAGCTGTTCGTGTGCATTCACACCGCTGGCCACCACATCGCCACGTTACAGTTCAGCGGTCAATTTGAGCTCTGTGCTATTTGTAGCAGAGATGGCATTTCAGTGTTGGTGGGGACAAATGTCAGTGAACACTGGTTTCAGTGATTTGCAGGTAAAACGATGTCCCAAGGGTTAAAACGAGGTATAATCTGAGCGACAGTAGGTTTAAAAACACAGACATTAAACCGTAATAACCTTACATAACTTATATAGCTTTAACTCTGAATGTAAAGTACAATTTGCTGAGACATCTTATGTAAACCTCAGAAATATTATTGTTGTTGTAGTAAAAATAAGCTCTTACTCTAAACCCACGACACACTTGTCTGATGCATTCAGGTTTGACAGATCAGACAAAAAGAGACCAAACGCTGTCACTGTTCTTCCCGCTCTTAATGTAAGAGTTATAACACTCGGGCTTTTTGCAGCCTTTGATCTGACAACATAGGTGCACTCTCAGTAAAAGGCCCCTTTGATCAAATTACAACTTCCCACTTAATCCATGTTGGAGTAAAGTCAAGTCTGGCAAAACGACTGCATGCAAAACAGGGGAGGAATCTACCATTTGGCCCCATTTAGAAGATGTGTACTTGAATTTATGTAAATCTGTTACCAGAACCGGTTGGTTTACTGCACGTTTACTTAAATGTGGTTGTTGACTAAAATGTTGTAAATAATAGATGTATTTTTGTTGATTTAATTCCAGCTTGTAGTGTTTATCAAATCATAAAAATCAAGCACAAATAACACCAACACACCAGGAATAATATCTTAAAAGGATGTTCAATGGATTCCATCAACAACCGGCCATGACTAATAATCCTTTTATATTTTATAACTCCCAGTCTCCCACCCATGTTTCCAAAATCCATGTCCCACATTGTGGCATCCTTAAAGCAGCGTGACTCACCCTGCAGTGCTGCTGTCCAGGGACCCTGTGACATTGAGGCCGTAGCGGCGCTGCATGGCAGCGATAGCGGACTGCATGACTCGAGCAGAACGCAGCACCGACATTCTGGGGTCTGCAGGGGGGAGGTAGCCGTACCTCTGGAGCCATGACTGTGGACAAAAACATGCACATAGGGAATGGTAAATATCACAGTACAAGGGATCTCCAGGTGAAAACAGAACGAAAAGGATCAGAGAATATAAATCTAAAGGCACTTTCCCAAGACTTTTGGTTAGGATAGGGCATATGTAATAAAAAAGAAATCTATATACAAGTTTATAGTGCAAAAGTTCATCTATTTTCAAGGTATTTGGGTTGTCAGAGGAAGACTGTTGTGTAATAGCTTTCAGCATCCCATCAAATCCTGCCAGAGGGAATCACTGCTGAGATCTTTGCAACCAGGGAGAAGACGAGGGCATCGGTCGAGCCTTCCCACAGAAGAGGCTTTAGGGATTGAAATAGTGCCAGCCTCTGTGTATTCTCTCCGTCTTCATCATTGCAATGGCAAACAGATTTGTTGCATTTGGCAAAAAAACTAAGCCAAGCAACCAATAAAAAGAAATTGAACCAATTAGAACAATTAAAAGATTGAAGTGTCAAGCAACAAATGGAAAACTGAAGAACCTTTTCATTCTTTATTCTGCAACTCTGAGCTGTGAAACCTGAGTGTTTTTCTGCTACACAATGTAGTCAAAGCTGCTGTCATTCGGTCGGCCTGCTGCTCAGGTTAGCATACACACTGAGAGGGGACTCACGAAACAGGAAGCGAAGCATGGTGGGAGCGGGCGAGGAGAAAGCAATAAAAGGAAAACCATTATTCAACAATGTGAGTCTACAGCCTCAGTTACAGTGTCAGGCTCCAAGCAGCAACAAAAGGCTCTTAAGATACTCAGTGGACGGGTTGCTGGTAGATTTTATAAAGTGCTATAAACTGGGACAGGAAAAAAACAGTTTTAATGGAAATCTGACTGGGAATGTTTAAATATACCAAAAGGACCCTGAACACTGTAAATATGTAAACCAACATCAACAGAAAGAACCAACATGCACTGATAGATGAAGGTTGTTGTTTTTAAAGGGATAAACAGTGTCAAAGCTAGATAGTGTTTCTTTTGATTGGTAGACTGACAAATCCATGCCTGCCTACTTCCTGTCTCCTTACGACTGGCCCATGTACAGATTCACACTCTGCAATAATGACCTACAGTATCATGTCCAACATCTGTCAGTATGGCAGATGTCAAAATGTTATGTCACGGTTCAAATGTTTTCCACGTTTCCGCACCTACAGTTTGCCTCCTTTCACTTTTCATTTTCATAACATTATCATCATTCTCTGCTCTCTGTTTCTCCATCTTCTCTCCTCCCGCTAACACTCAGTGGGTGGGTGAACACATTATGATGTGTGTCAGGTTCCTGCACTCTCAACGCACCTCAGGGGGAAGCAGTGCATGGTGGACATTTCCTATTTGGATGCTCGGGTACTGACAATACAGATCTGTAATCACACACACACACACACACACACACACACACACACACACACACACACACACACACACACACACACACACACACACACACACACACACACACACACACACACACACACACACACACACACACACACACACACCACACACACACACACACACACACACACACACACACACACACACACACACACACACACACACACACACACACACACACACACACACACACACACACACACACCTTCTCTCGTTGAGTCACTCTCTACAGCCGCTCCTTTTCCTCCTAATTTCTACTTTCCATGTTCCTGTCTGTAATCATCCCTGTCCCTCCCTCACATGTCCTCTTTCATTGTAACCACGCTTGGCTCTGTACTAACCTATAACCACTGCCTCTGTGAATTCCCAGCTGCTTTTCCGATTGACAAAAAAAGATATTGATTTCGACGTGGCACTGCATATTTTCCTAAAATCCAAACGCTATAAAGAAACCAAATGTACAACTGGTAGATTGAGTTAGAGGAGAAGACATCATGGTTTTGAAACAGTAGGACTACGTTTTCTCATTTTTGGACATTGTGAATGACTTTGCATTTAACATTGCTGTCATCGATGTGAAATTATTAAGATGTTTTGAAATCCTCCTTGTTGTTTATCAAATGTATCCGCAGTATGAGCAACACCACTTTTATGTAAATGAGAAGCAGCAACCAAAACAACATGAGGGATTGTTTTTTTCAGGAGGTATTGGCAGTATGTATTAAAGTGAGGTGTTTGGGCTTCCAGACAATGCAGCCATTATCAGAGGCTGCTGTTAGATATGTCTGTCACTCAGACATTGACAGGATATTGGATGGTGTGTGTGTGTGTGTGTGTGTGTGTGTGTGTGTGTGTGTGTGTGTGTGTGTGTGTGTGTGTGTGTGTGTGTGTGTGTGTGTGTGTGTGTGCAGGAGACGAGGGGGGTGTTCAGAGATTAAGATGGAGAGACAGACAGGACATGGAGGGTGTAGCTGTCACACCGGATGCCTCTTATCTGTTGTAACAGTAAGGCAGCAGAACATTGGGTGCAGCAGGGATGGATATACAAATACAGATATATATTTAAATTAAATAATTTATTTTACATTTCACATATTGGAAAGAATATTGCCTGGTAGGTGTCCACATCTTTCAAACCACACACCTCCAGTTTGCATTTCTGTTATCACTTACTATTTGCAATTCCATGGTCAAACAGAAATCAAAAATTAACCCTTCGACTTTCGAAGACAGAGGTTCAAAGCTCAAATAAATGAATACTGCAAACATTTTCAAAGATTCAATCCAAGTCTCTGATCTTTGATTCCATCATTACGCCAAAGTACGGCTGCACCCAATGTCCTTGATTTTAACTTTCAGGTTTTCAAATGAAACTTGAAATATCTGTCTTCATATTATTTTATGTAGCCTATCTATTAGAATGCTGATAGACAACTCCTTTAATACAGGTGCATGAACATGTAATGAAATTCTGAAACACCAAAAAAAATTGATTAAGGACAAATATTTTTGATAGATACAAAATATGTGGAGAATTTTAAACGATTATCAGTTTTGAATCAGTGTTTTGGATTTATTATACTCTGGAGTTATTGGATATTTTGTTTTGAGTATCGCCAAAGTGTATATATTATGAAAAGTTAAACGGAGCGTGAATTAAAACATATTAGACTAAATAGATATACAGCAGGTATTGACTACTGCCTACTTCACAGCACACCTCTAGCTGCTAGGGCCCATCTTGTTATAATCCTAGAGGAGAGACATCCTCAAACTGCTTAATCATCAGCGAGGCCTTTGCTTTTTCCTACCGTTCACTCTCCTATCTGTCCTTATCTCCGTCTGTTTTCTTCCCCTATCCTCCCGCTCGGCTGCCTGCTTCTCCTTCTTATTGATCCGCTCTTTGTCTTCATGATCTATGGTTCCCGGTGTTCTGCCAATGTAAGGATTCCTGAGAGCGGGAGGCTGCAGCTTGACAGCCCTCCTTATTCAATAAGACAGAAAGCTCTCCCCCCCACCCCTCCCCCCATTCTCTCTCTCTGTAAATGGATAACAAGGGAGCGTGTAAGCACAAGGTTGTGTTTCAATAGATCTGCAATTTGTAGAAGTTGTAATATAAATTATACAAAATGGTAACCATGCTTAAACTAAAAGAAGTCTTTCATCTCATAATACTTTGGTTAAAAAAAGAGTGGCCTGCTTTAATGAGGTTAAACTTCTCCAGAAATCAAGGCTCTCTTGAAATGGAAAGATAAGGAGTCCACTAGTGTGCCTCAATGAAGGCTAAAATGCATTAGCGCCTATTTTTGGGTTCTCCACACTTGATTTCACTCGCCTTTGAAGTACATTTCTCTCTTGCTCCTGATGGTGGAAAAACCCGGCTTCACCTAACTTCTTCACACACAGTGCTTTTCATTTTTTACCTTTGCTACACTAAGAGAAAAACAAGTTGTGGTTTCAAATCCTAGCTGCCCTAATAGGATACTTTTAACTGTATATAATATATAACATGCAATATGCTGGTTCTCTGAGGCTCTTATCCAGGCAGCTATATAAGACCAATGAGGTACAGAACAGTCTCCAACAATGACACAATCACACTACAAACGTCATCTCAGGTGAAATCCATATAGTTCTCACCCACAGACATCACACATGAGGAAATGGAGGGCAGAGAGGTGGAGTGACTCAGAAGCCAGATGCCTCACACGAGCACTGAACTGAGGTGAACTTGGAGCGCTCGTGTCCCCGGAGCACCTCCCAACCACCTGACGAGCAGAAGGAGGGCCAATTAGTCAATAGGTGCCATCAAAAGGCCAACCTGCGAGGGGATGGGATCACTCTATTATGAATGAGATGTGCCTCAGGAAGCAGGGTTGGCATGGGAACGTGCTGATGGCGTGTGGTGGCTGGCTGCTGATGTTGATGTTTGCCAGCGATCAGCTGATAGTAGCTCCGTCCCCTCAGGTTACAGGGACGCCATGCGACTCACATGTGCATTAATAATGTATTCAGTTAGACTTTTGACAGTGAAGACAGTTGGCATGGCAATGGTTATGGTACCATCAATTATTTTTTCAATTATCATTTTTTTGATGTATTTTTTTTCTTTCTATTTATAGTTTGAGGATATAGCTTTAGGACAATTGAAAATAAACAGGATGCAAAAGTGTAAAGATGCTTGTTAAAGTTTCTGAAGGTAAAATAAAAACGATGTGACCAAAGCTGGTGTTATTATCAGGCTTTTCACCAACTTGAAGTCCTTTTTGTAATACGATACGATCATTAATGATTTCTTGCTTAATTAGGCGCAGGCTGTTTTATAAAATGATGCTTGTGATTAGAGTGTTTTTGTCAGTGACACTAAAACCATTTTTCAGAAAGTAGGATTTGTTTCAAAGCCTGGGCTACTCAGAGAAGGTTTATAGGTAGAATGGGTCAAAGGAGATGAACTGTTCCTCGTTAGAAAGCAGTTTTACCTTCATGTTAATAACAGTTATATATGTACGGTAATACACCCACATGCATCAGCAATAGTAACTGCATTCTGCATTCGGCCTTTACTTTAGCTGTTTCAG